GGTTCGGGTGAGAAAGATGAGACGGACGAAATGAAGACAGAAGAGAGTGAAAGATTATCTGTGGAATATTACTGCCTCAGCATTTGCCTAAGTGATCCAAGGAAACCACAGAAAAACTTGGACCAAGGCAGCCGGACCAGGAATCGAGGCGGCGTCCTCCCTAATGCTAAGCAATGGTCTAGACAGGTATATTATACGGTCTCTTGAGTAAGTTGTTCCACTCAGATGAACTGCTGATGGCGCCCTGACATATGAAATTTGGGAGTATTTATAGGATAAGGTTGTTAGTAGATTTGGTAGAATGTTCTAAAAGGAAAAGTAGCGAGAGAGAGGGTGAAGACACTAGTTTATAGGAATACGCAGAATTAGATAGTACAGAATTCAAGAGCAAGCAATTAAGGGTAAAACCAGATATTAGTATGGGAGTGCATGCAGGTGTGGTTGAAGTTGGAATTCTAGGTAAAAGTGATTGAAAGAACAATATAGAGTTTAGATTGAAAGGAAACCAAAGTATTTACAAGATAAGAAATTGAAAAGAATTGAAATAATATTTGAAGTGAAATAATATTCGAAATGAAATATTATTTGAAATGAAATAAAATTAGAAAAAATAATTACACACAAAAAAAAACAGCAAGAGTTATTTCGCCACATCACCATCCGATTCTGCTTTGACGATTTTCGATGCTGTTATTATTTAAATAAATTGTAGTGTTAGGAAGAAGTATAATTAATATTACATTATAGCCCAGCTAGTTTTGGGGCGCATGTTACAAAAGTGATTACAATCAACTTTTTCAGTTCAACAATTATTATTACTTTCATATCATTTAGAGGAATTAATAGAGCGAATTGTTTGCAATCAAATACACTACAAAATGTACCAATTCCATCTGCCAAGGGACTATCCGTAACAGTCAAGTTCCGGTTGAATCCCATTCCAGTCGCGATCAATCTTGAAAAAAAGAAATACAATTATACAACACGCTACCGAAGTGGAACTTCTTCAAACACACAAACATACCGGGATAGCGGTTAAGGAATTGGTTTAATGGTATTATTTATACACTATGCTTCGCACGGGTGCAATGCTGATAGTAAATATACTATAGAATGTCTTTATATACAACAATCACAGCTTTTTTGTTATTAGACAATACAAAACGGCCGGTACCGCCGTAACCGCTATGTCCCTGCATTTTAAATCTGTAATATCTTCGAAAATATTCATTTAAATTACATGCTGTAAAGGGCCATATTGATCGATATTAAAAGCACAATGCATTTAAAAGTACTTAATTGGATAAGGATTAATGCTGTATTGCTTAAAATCGCTTCGTAAATAAGTCATTATTTCTCGTAAAAAGTGAAGGATAAAAAACGGTTATTGTGGGTTATCCCTAAGAGTTAGACATATACCATCGCGGACTTTTTTGTAGACCTTTTTAAGGTGTACAATACTGTAGTATATTATTTTGATCTATCTCGTTGGGTTCGGCCAGCGTTTGCAATGTAAGCGCAAAAAAAATTGTTTATTTACAACATCACATTACAAACCTCTAAAATTACCAGTGTTTCTCTACTATATTATACATGCATTATACATATAAACCTTCCTCTTGAATTACTCTATCTATTAAAGAAAACCGCATTAAAATCCGTTGCGTAGTTTTAAAGATCTAAGCCTACATAGGGACAGACAGCGGGGGAAATGCGTTGCATGATTTCGTTACATAGCAACTCGCATGAAACGAACTTAGCCTACCGTACGTAAAGAAGTTTCACTTCAAAAATTTGTTTGAGCGAGATCGAACTCATCACGCCATGTATCGATAGTATAAATGCCATTTTGTTCCCGGTTCAGTCAGCTGTTACCTGTTGAAGCGACAATTGCATCAAAAGTAATTAATGTTTCTCCTTCTATTTTTCGTTGCAGTAAACTTGGATGCACTCACATTCTTCTCCTTAATTCGTGTTGATAATATTATCTTCTTCATCAAGAATAAAAGNTTTAGACATTTACCGAGATAGGTTAGTAGGACACCTTCTCAAGCATGAAGGTCTAGTCAGACACATATTAGAGGCAGAAAGAGAGTTAGGAGGGGTAGAGGTAGACTTAGGTTAGATTACTGTTCGCAAATAGTTAAGGATGTGGGTTGTTCTAGTTTTAGGGAAATGCGAAGATTAGCTGAGAATAGGAAAGAGTGGAGGTGCGTATCCAACCAGTCTTAGGACTAACGACCTTATGATGATATTATTACCTATTAGTCCATTACAATAAAAATGTAATGATTCAATAACTTTTTACAGATAGATACACTAACAGGAGAGGAAGACACATTTGAGAATTTTCGAACAAGATGCATAAGAACGGCGTTACATATGAAATCGAAAGGTTTCCATCCGCAGGATAAAATTACAATCTGCACCTACAATACTTTGGATTCTCCGATTCCTCTTATAGCATCGATTTTAACGGGAGTTATTCCAAATGCTCTGGATCCATCATTTTCTCTGGATGACTTTAAATATTATCTTCAATTAATAAAACCGAAAGCTATATTTGTAGCTCCAGAAGTTGAACATTCAATTAAAGAAGCAGCTAAATCCAATAATTTAGATACGGAAGTAATAGTTTTTGGTACTTCCTTTAATGATTTCCTGATACCAGTCGAAGGAGAAGAAACATTCACGCCATTTCTTCCTTTAAGTACAAGAGATACATTTCTTATCTTGTTCAGCAGTGGCACATCTGGAAAACCTAAGGCAATTTGTTTCAGTCACGTTGGTTTTTATCTTTACCTTTCATCAGCATCCTTAGAGTAAGCATAATGACTTTATGACAATAACAACAGTATCACTATTTTTAAGTTGAGTGTGGAATTCATTGAGATTTTTATCAACGTTTCGGCTTCGAATTTTGTCATTTTCAGTCACATCTCTGCCCAAAGATCCAAACAAAGCCGAAACAACTACAAGGTGTTTCACCTAAGGCGGTTTCGCCTATAACTCTGTTATAATACTTTAAATAATAGAAATGTTTTTACAAAATTGGTTTGGAATGATAGGGTGTATACGCGGACGCATTCCGAATGTTGGCTGTGAGATATGGTGAAGCTACCTTGGACGTACGCAACGTTTATCGGTGGTACAAAATGTTCTCAGCGGCCCGAGAAGAACAAGAACATCAACAACAGACGAAAACATTCATGTAGTGAAGAAAATAGTACTGGCCAATCTTCGAATCACCGTTAGAAAAATTGCTAAGGACCTATAGGTACATATCGATTGGCTTCTGTCATTCGATTTTTACCAATGAAATTCGTATCAAAGTTGCTCACTTTCGACAAAAAACAGCATCCCATTAACATTCCTAAGGAGCTGTTGGACTTTGTCCGCCACGACCTGAATTTGCTGCAGATGGTCATAAGTGGTAATGAATCATGGGTTTGTGGTTATTACGTAGAAACCAAAGCTCAATCATCCCAATGGACGCTGAACAAGATCACAAAAAATTATTTTTTGAGTATTGCTACTTTTGTGGAATTCAAAAAGTAATTTCTTTGGTCTTCTTGGTTAATGAAATTTTCTNCAAACTCCTTTATTTCATCAGGATTAACCTTGAAACCTTGTTTAAGGGTAACAAATGCTACGGGATGGTCACCGTCAACTTCGTGAGGTATTCCAGTTACAACACATTCTTTAATCGCTGGATGCTGTAACAATACATCTTCCAAAATCGCAGGACTTACTGGGAACGATTTGTACTTGAGCATTTCTTTACATCTACCAACAATATAAATAAATTCTTCTTCGTCATAATAACCAATATCTCCTGTTTTGAACCAACCCTGAGAATCGTATACATCTGACGAATCCACTCCATAGTAACCGTTCATTAATGTATTGGATCGGAGACGGATTTCACCCTCCTCCATAGGGCCCAATGTCTCTTCGGTATCCAAATTTACAATCTAAGAGAAAAGACGGAGTAAATTACGACGAATTTTAAACACTGGAAGCAATCAAGTTTAATGTGTGTTGATGATTTTAATGATATTATATTAAGAAACATGCGTCGTGAGAAACCAATCTTCTAAAATAGTTAAATATATACTTATGTAGATATAAAATGTAATTATACATATAAATTTTCCGGTTAAATTCATTAAATTTGTTTACTTGTACTCGATACAAATATCATACATTTTGTTACTGTATTTTAGTTTGGAAAATACCCTTTGGTTCGTTTATATGGGATCTATCTCATAAAAATTAAAAGTCGATGGTTGAAAATTGTGACGCGTCTTAATCTTGGTGACAAGTAAATGTAAATAAACTCATAAAAGATAAATATGCGATGATTGAATAATGTCGATGTGTCTAAAATACTTGCATAATATGTGATGTCTGTGATTTTTTTTCTATTATAATGTAACTCAAGTGGTCAGTTTTGCACTGGTAGATGTACCACGTGTGCATTCTACTACAGAGTGGGAGGTTTCAGATATCCAATAGTAAAATAAACACAAATCTGTTATGTAATGGATAATACGCATAACCTTTCAGTTTAGGACGATTATTGGTATTTATTATGTTGCTGCTAATAAAGCAATGTTGTGCCCATAATGGGTACTAATTGCAGTATTGGTAAAAAATACTGTATGGAGACTTCAAAATGTTTTAAATTGGAAGTTTCAGTAACGCATAAACTTATGGTTTTACCCGTAATGTTATTCCTGGACTAATGTTTCCGGATGATCCTGCGAAAACTTTCTCTTCATGCTTTTCGGTAAAATTTTCCTTTCTGGGAAAGGCCGAAATGAATCCAACTTCAGTTTGTCCATAGCAGTTCAAGAATTTTGCACTTGGGAAAACTTTACTAGCCAATTTCAAATGTTCTTTGGATACTGTGGCTCCGCCGACGAATATGTTATCCATTTGAAGGGTGATTCCATTTTGTATGCAGTAATTGGAAATCTCTACTAATGTGGAAGGAGGCAGAAAAGTTGTATGCAGCTACAATAAGAGATGGATCGGTTAAGGTCTCTACACACAGTGCAATTTGGTTGGGCCAACTTATCGGGTCAACAAATTGGGGTACTCATCCTAATTGCTCAGTCGTAACTTGATATTTTAAACCAGTAATAGCAGTTACAGTAATAATGGAATGTGTGAATGCTCACCCCAATTTGTTGATCTGATAAGTTGATCCAACAAAATTGGACTGTGTGGGGCTGTTAATTTAATGTGAGTTACATTGGGCTTTCCCAGCTTTTCATAGGCTAACATTTCTTGTTCAATTGGTAAAGTAATACACATTTTCTCAATTGGTTACATGGATGAAACACTTATCATCCGGGTTTGGAATTACTGCTTTTACGTATATATTCACTTATCGTTTTTTATCGATTCATAAGTAATGTGACCAATGTTTTCCAGACGAAACGAACTCTGCAGCGTGTTGTAATATGCTGAGGAACTGTTAGCGTTAAAACGCGTTCGACCTACACTTGGGTATTTTTAGTTCAGTAAAAAGAGCGCTCAACTTATATGGTTTATAATTCTTCCGTGAACTGGTTCGTTTTTATAGTTCGCTTTAGGTTCGAAGAAGGTAGAGACCTTTTAATCTATGATGGAATTATCTAAATTGATTTACACGTGGTCAAATATTCGGAAAAATCTTATTGCTGTTCCAAGACTTCCAAACCGCCAAAATACATTTCAAAAACAATGGACTGTTGGTAAAACAACCAATACTGCCGACAAATTTTCACTGTTTCAGGTTAGGAGGTATATCATGAGTCTCTTCCGCCATCTTCACCACGTGGTAGATAATTTAACTACGAACTGATTTCTTGTTTGCTGCGAAGTAGCTCTTGTAGTTCATATATAGGATCGGTCTGCCGAACTAGTTTGTTCGTGAACTATATAAGCTTAATTCGGTCTCGGTCATCCCAGAGCATCGTGAACCTCTTTTTGAACTTATAGTTCTTAAAAGACTAAAAAAGAGGGCCGCGCAACAAAGCTACATAAAAACTCATGGGAAGTTCACCATGATAACTGCAAGTCACAGCGCCTTCGTTCTCAAAAATTACTCAGTGAGGTCCCGCACACCACTGGTTCCGCCAATCCCTATACAATCCTGACCTGACTCCCCGAGACGTTTTTGTTTCCACGTTTTACGAGAACCCCAAAAAGGAAAAATTAGGATGCAATTAAAAATATGTAGGCACCGAGCGGCATGGCCTAGAGGTTTAGACCGTTGCTTAGCATTCGGGAGGACGCCGGTTCGATTCCGGGTTCGTCTGCCTTGGTCGAAGTTTTTCTGTGGTTTCCTTGGATTACCTAGGCAAATGCTGAGGCAGTAATATTCCACAGATAATTTTTCATTCTCTTCTGTCTTCATTTCGTCCGTCTCATCTTTCTCACCCGAACCACCATCCACCCATTCCCACGATTCCTGAAAGCAGGCTGAAGAGGGCCTTCCGCCCTACCTTCCGGCGTAGTCCGGAGAGACTGCCCGCCCACCAGCATTACTGGCTGGTGGGAATGAAACACCCAAAAGTTTAAGTTTTAATATCTAGGCTCATAAACATTGGCTCCAAAGATAGATTTTATATGTTGCCTTCCAGACCTGGAAACACTGCCTCCAGAAATGTATTAACGCAGGAAGATAGTATTTCGATGATTCTTGACGAATTATACGAGTATGTTCAATAAATGATGTTTAATAGTTTTGGTCGGATTACTTATGAAACGTGGAAGGACCTTTGCTACACTGTCTTAGAGCAATCAACACAGTAATGTCGTTCTTTTGAAACATTATTGTGAAAAGATATACATTTACAATAAATTAATAAACCCATGTGGGTTAACGTTAGTTAGTTTTGAAGATTAGGTAAGTTATGCCCTGATACAGAGTTAGCATAGCCCAGAATTGCATAATTTCCAAAAGTGAATTAGAAGCAGGATATTTGCGTCTTTTTTAGTAGAAAGAAAAGATAGACAATTAAATAAACGTACATAGTACATTAGTACCTACGACTTTAGCATTTAGCAGTTAAATAGAGTTGCAAAATATATTAATACTAAAAGTCTACTTTTATATGTAAGTTGTAAAGGATGCAACAACACAACTCTGTTGTGAACTGCCTTTGCGAGTACTCAGTAAAAAACTATCACAATTTGTTTTCTATAACTTACTTTATAATCTCTGACGATGTTACAAAATGTCCGTGCGGTATCAAATTTCGGATAGACTAATTTTACAAACCCAAATATGATATTAGCAAATGTTAGACAAACTTGAGATATCCAATACAGCGAAGAAAAGAAGAGCAATCGGTCACTTTTTACACTAAAAAAAGAACAATAGATAATAAGATCACAGGTACAGCAAGTGGGGCAATATCCAATTAAAATTCATTATGGGGGATGAAAAAGAAACTAACGCAATCAAATCGAACCCAGACTCAATCTAATTTAGTTGGACTGATTTTTCTCCAAAAAGTTTCAAGAAATGACTAAAATCAGTTCAAAAGATTTTTTAACTGAGTCAGTCCCTTTTTAAAATTTTCGATTATCTTCCTCCACCCGATGTGTTCATTGCCTCTATCTAAAAACACTTTTCAAGTGTTCTACAATGTTAAATCTACCCCCCTCCACACACTTTCCTCCCCATTCACTCGACAGTAACCATCATAAAAGAATATATTTTCATCTTATTCGTTGTTCCTCTATGCCTCCTCCCCATGTCTACAAACACTTGCTTGTTTTTTAAATACAAGGTGCCGCCCGCCCCCTTCTTCTCGCCCCCCCCCCCCCCAGCTTCCCAGTGACTGTTTTATAAACAAGATAATTACCTACCCAATGTGTTATTGCCATTGTCATACAGTTATTATACACTATACTTACCAAATCGTTTTTGATGTAGCAAATTGATACAAGCCAACGTGACTCAAGCAGATTGCTTTCGGTTTCCCAGTTGTACCGCTGCTGAACAAAACTAAAGCCGTATCTCGAACGCTTAAAGGCAGAAATGGTACGAATGTTTCTTCTCCTTCCACTGGTATCAGGAAATCATTAAAGGAAGTGCCAAAAACTATTACTTCCGTATCTAAATTATTGGATTTAGCTGCTTCCTTGATTGAATGTTCAACTTCTGGGGCTACAAATATTGCTTTCGGCTTTATCAGTTGAAGATAATATTTAAAGTCATCAACAGAGAATGAGGGATCCAGAGTATTGGGCACAAGTCCCGTTAAAATAGATGCGATAAGAGGTACCGCAGAATCCAAAGTATTGTAAGTGCAAATTGTAATTTTATCCTGCGGACTGTAACCTTTAGACTTCATATGTAACGCCGTTCTTATGCATCTTGTCCGAAAATTCACGAATGTGTCCTCTTTTCCTGTTATTGTATCTATCTATAAAACGTTAATGAAGCTTTACACTTTTATCATAAGGAGCCATCCATAAATTACGTCACACGAATTTCAAGATTTTTGACCCCTTCCCCGTCCTTGTCACAGCTGGTCACATTTGTGAGACTCCCCCCTTCCTAGTGTGACGACACATATTTTGCAATTTTTACATCTAGAAATTATTGAATAGTGTTTTAACAAGTAGATTTTGAAAATTTAGGACCCCGCCCATCCCCCAGTCACACAATGTCACACTTCGTCGATCCCCTCCGTTCCCCTTAACGTGTGACGTAATTTACGGATGGCCCCTAACCAGCAAATCGAGTAGGAAGTGAACTCGAAACAATAAAGATAATGCTGGTATGAATACACTATATATTACTTTACTAATGGTCAATTCATTAAACAAAAACCTATTTAGTGAATTAATTTTTTTGAAATAACTTTACCCACTAAACATAACCTCAAATTAACGAGGAAAAAGTTTTACTGCTGTCACTCCCTCTTCGGGAATCGAACCCGGGCTCCTGGTTTTATGCATCAGTGCTCTACCACTCAGCTACAAGGAGGTGACAGTACCAACACCGATACGTATCTAAAAGTATAGACTGCAGAATTGTCGAACCAAAATGCTTTGAACTTTATCTGTAGTGGGTAATTTTAATTCAAAAAAATTAATTCACTAATGCATTGAATTTAACTCTACAAAAATTCAAAGTATATTTCATTCATTCATAAGAAATAGAGCACTTCTCAGTTTAAATTGTTATGACATTTAATACTACAATGGAAGTCGTTATTGAAATATATGAAAGTAGTTTATTATGTTTTTCTTGTAATGAATCTTGCAAGTATTATAGAATAGGTTCTCTTAATTTTGAGAAAGAGGCATTTTTAAATTATAGTGAGGATTTATGGGATAGCTATAGCAATTTTTGTACATATTTAATATGAGTTTATTTTTTACTTTAGTAAAGGTTTTTTGTACTATAAGGTATAAATTTTACGTGCAATTTCAGTCGGTTTACGATAAACAAGAGAAAATTCAGCTTTTTTATAATGGACTTTAGTTTAGGAATAGATCAAGTGAATGCAGAAACACATATAGGTATGTATTTCAGCAATTCTCGTTTAAAACTTTAGACTATGATTAAAATAAGAGATCTTAATTAAAAATTTAATGAAAAGCCATTCACTNAAATCGAACTAGTTTTTGTGTGTGACACCCTGTATACATATTAATTGTGTTGTAATTTTTTTATAAGGTAAAAATATCTTTTAAGTGAACTACAAAAATAAGTAAAAACCCCTTACTTACTTGCATTACATCCTTTCCGTGTTCTGCAAGCTTTTCAAATAATATATAGCCAAGTCCACGCGGGTCCATACGAAGAAAGTCGTATGATTCATTACTTAAAATTTTATCACACCGTTTATTACCTAAAATTTTATTTAATGCATTTTAACTAGATTAAAAATGGATAAGAAAGAAAAACTCTTAGCTTGTTTTATAATATTTAGTTCTAACTTGACAATGTCACCCCATGTCCAATAGCTGCATGGAGAAAATCATATAACAACTCAAACACCTGAGCAAGTTAGAATTAAATATTTATTAACAAATAACCAAGCGTTTTCTTTCGAATCCGTATTCAGTATAGGTGTTTAATTAAAGCAAACAACCACTATTATTTAACTTTTCGCCACTTAATTTTAGATAAACATAAAAATTACAATCACTTTTTTTAGCATCCATTGGTAGTAGTTGCACTTCATAAAATTCAGTAGTAGTGTGTTTGATTGTTTCTTTATCGACTGTATTAATAGTGCAGTAGTTGCGTTGGAAAACAACAGAATGACTTGCTCTATAAATAATTACTGTAATAAACAAGTAATTGGACCACCAACGAATACAATGATAAAACTAAGAATATTAAATTATAAACAACGTAACCACCTTCAAATTAGTAAGAGCTTGCGCTTACGACAAAGAGTGCATCAACCAATACAAAAAGTGATGACACCTTCAATTCAGTTAATTGAAAAATCGAATATATGGTACAATAAGCTACCTACAATCTAGAATTGCAGTCAATTATAGCGAATATACGTCATAATTTACAAATAGAGAAAACAGAGTGCTGCAATAATCAAAGGATTATTTAACTAGACTTTCTAACTAAATCTCATAAATATGATATGTTGGTCTGTTGCTTGGGACGGGTAGAGTGGATAGGGGTGACTTTGTAGAACGCTACACAAGTGTTTTAGTTAGAGGATTAGTTTGAAACTACTTTTATTATATTAGAGATTGATTATTAAAAGAAATCGTACCCCTAAAAAAATATTTTTTTCAACTTTTATAATTATCGTACAGG